CCGGCCGGGCTGCGGGGCCAAAACCTCCCGATGGAAACACTTTGCTCCTGACGTGCTGCGGTTTCCGGGTAATCACGCCGTCAGGGCTTCCTTGTTTTGTTAGGAGCCGGGATGGGCGCCCACCACGCTCCCTCTGCCCGGCCCCTCCACGGCTCCAGCTGGGCACGGTGCCACCGAGGGACCCGCTGGCTCCAGAAGAGCCTTTTCCCAACCCGGTTTGGTTGCTTCCAAGCCGGGGCAGCCCGCAGTGGGGCCGACCTGCCAGGCTGCTACAAGGCACCCTTTGTCCGGGCACAGAACTGGATCATTTTAGACAGCCCCAGGGGTGTGAGGAGGGTGATGGAGCCCCTGGCGAGGCCTTCCTCTGCCCCCCATGCTGCCCTCCCCAGTGCACCAGGGGAACGGGGACATCCCCAATGCACCAGGAGAACAGGGATGTCCCCAGTGCACCAAGCAAAGGGGCAGCTGGGGTCTCACTTTGCCACCTGCAATGTGTGCCCTCCTTGCTGGCCTATCCCCATCATCACTCTGCCACTGTCCCAGCTCTGGGTCTGAGGAATCTTCTCCCAGGGCAGAAGGACATAAATCCCCTGTGTGATGTTGGGCAGAGCTAGTCCAGCACAATGTTGTTTTTTTCCTGGGTGTCCCACAGGGACAAGTGGGATGGCTCTGGGTCACATGTGAGCACACTGCCCTGTGCCACATGTGCCCTGTCTATCTGCCACCTAAAGCCACCCTGGGCGAAGTGTAAATCTCCCTGTACTTGCCAACAGCATTAAGGGATTACTTGGGCTGGTGGGAGTGGGATCTCCTGTCCCACCACCCCTTGGCACCATGCAGGGTTGACCTTGGGACCCCATCCACCAGCCCACAGCATCTCCCACCATACTACAATGTCCCATCCCCAAAAAGGCTCCTCCACAGGGGCTGACCCTGCTGGGCTGGTGGCACTGACCAGTGGGGCCCCATGGTGCCCAAGCTGCTCCAAAGCCTCAGTTAATCCCACTCCCTGCAGCACTCGGGCTCCACTTTTACCTCCCAGCACCTCCTAAGACGCTTTGAGGATGATGCCCAATGTGGCCTCTCCCCATCTGTCTCCAGCTGGGTGGCTGCAGGGTGTCCCCCAGGCAGGGGATGGAGACCTGGCCCATCACTGGTGGGACGGGGTCTGTACCCACCAATCCTGGACCTGACAGCTGGTGACAGATCCCAAGCAGCAGGATGGGGAGGTGAGGAGCTCCCGAGGATCATGGAGCCCCTCAAACTCATGGAACTTTGTTCCCCCCAAGATCCATCCCACTGCTGCCACTATCCCCATTTGTGAGAGGGGACTCAGGAGAACCCCACCATGTCTGGGTGAGCTCAGGGTTGCCCACACACCAGGATGCCCAAGGACCCACCAGTTTTGTGAGATTTTCAGTGGAGCCAGTGGTGGTTGGAGTTGGGGGGGGGGATGTTTTGGGCTCATCTCCAAGAGAAACATTTATGTTAGAGGAGGGCAGGAGGGGGAGGGCAGAAGAAAAGCATCATTCATCAGTGTTAGGAAAAAGGGGAACGGTATTAGAGGCAGCTGCAGCAATTGTAGCTCAGAGCTGTTCTCACCAGATTACTCCAACTTTAACACAGAGCAGAAAAGCCCTCAACAATCAGCTCCTCACTCCCCACCACGGAAACAAAACCCTCACCAACTTCTGGAGAACCCAGAACTTCCCCCTC